TTAAAAATGAAAAACAAAATAAATAACGAAAAAAAGTGAAAAAAAAAACTAAAATAAGTATCATTTGGTATGAAATGGATAAAAAATGTTGTAACATATAAAGAAGAAGCTATTTAATTCTAAATTGAATGTGAGAATAATCATTAAAATAAATTATTGTAACATAAATAATTAAGTTATCAATTTAAAATTTTAATTAATTTTTTTAAATATATAAGATAAATAGCTAAAACTTAAAAACATATTAATACCATAAACAAGTTAGATGAAACATAAAAAGATAAGAATTATCATAAAATTGATATTATTTGACATAAAATGTGTTAGAAATATCGTAATATCTTAAGAAAAAATTGTGATAATTCTAAAAAAAATAAGAACAAGCATAAAAAAAATTATTGTAACATAAATAATTAATTTGACAACGTAAAATAATTATTATCTTAAACCCAAAGAATAATTCTAAACCAATAAATAAGTGTTAACGTAAAAAGTTAAAAATAATCATAAAATTGTTGTCACTTAATGTAAAATGAGTTAAAAGTGTTGAATATCCTAATAAAGAGTTGTGATAGTTATAAATGTAATGAAAAGTAATAATATGTATAAAAAGATATTATTGTAACAAAAATAATTAAGTTGGTAATATAAAAAAATATTATTACAAATTAAAAAAATAATTTTAAACAAAAAATAAAATTTTAATGTAAAAAAGTGAAAATAATCGTAAAATTAATATTATTTGACATAAAATGGTTGCAAGTATTGTTACATCTTAATAAAATATTATGATAATTTTAAATGTAATTAAAAGTAACAACAAAGGTAAAAAAAAATATTATTAAAACATAAATAATTAAATTGGTAATGAAAAAAATTAGTATTATAAATTAAAAAATAATCCTATACCAAAAGTTAGACGTTAACATAAAAAGATAAGAATAATCATAAAATTTATATATTTTGGACTAAAATGTATTAGAAATGTCATAATATTTTAAGAAAAAGTTATAATAATTTTAAATGCATTAAAGGATAAGAACAAGTATAAAAAGATATTATTACAACATAATAATTAAGTTGACAACATAAAAAAAATTAGTTTTATAAATAAAAAATAATTTTAAATAAAAAATTATTAACGTAAAAAAATGAGAGTAATTGTAAAATTGAAATTATTGGGTGTAACATGTGTTAGAAGTGTTATAACATAAAAATGCAAGAATAGTTATAAAATTAGAGTCACTTGACATAAATTATATTAGAATTATTGTAACACCTAATAAAAAGTTGTAATAAATTTAAACGTAATAGAAAATAAGAACTAGCGTAAAAAAAATTATTGTAACATAAATAATATTTTTGACGACTTAAAAGAATTATTATTACAAATAATTAATAATTTCAACCAAAAAAATAAGTATTAGTATAAAAGATGAAAGTAATCGTAAAATTGATATTATTTTTTGTAAAATTGTAAGAAGTGTCGTAACACTTTCTAGAAAAAATTGTAATACTTCTAAATATAATAAAAGATAAATGTAAAAAAATATTATTATAACATAAATAATTAAATTGACAATATAAAAGAACTATTATTACAAACAAAAATATAATTTTAAATAAAAAGTTAAGAGTTAACATAAAACGGTGAGAATAATCATAAAATTTGTATTATTTGACGTAAAATAATTAAAAATATCATTATACCTTAAAAAAAATTTATAATAACTTTAAACGTAATAAAAAGTAACAACAAATGTAAAAAGATATTATAGAAATATAATAAATTAGTAATATAAAAAAATTAGTATTATGAATAAAAAATAATTCAATTAAAAAATGAGTATTAACCTAAAAATGTGAGAATAATTGTGAAATTGGTGTCATTGGATGTAAAATATATTAGAAGTGTCATAATATTTTACGAAAAACTTGTGATAATTCTAAAAATAATAAAAAGTAAGAACACACATAAAAGATTTTATTGTAACATAAATAATTTTTTGGCAACGTAAAAATTTATTATTACAAATAGATAATAATTCTAAATCAAATTATAAGTGTTAATATAAAAAGTGTGAGAGTAGTCATAAAATTGATATCATTTTAAGTAAAATGATTAAAAATATTGTAACATATTTAAGAGAAAGTTATGATAATTTTAAACATAATAAAAGGTAATAACAAGCATAAAAATATATTATTATAAAGTAAATAATTAAGTTGGTAATGTAAAAAAAATTTTTACAAATAAAAAATAATTAAAAAAAGAGTTAACATAAAACAATGAAAATAATTGCAAAATTTACACCTAAATAAAAAATTATAATAAATTTAAACGTAATGAAAAGTAATAATAAATGTAAAAAAATATTATTGAAACGTAATAAATTTGTAAGGTAAAAAAATTAGTATTACAAATAAAAATAATTCTAAATAAAAAATAAGTGTTAAAATAAAAATGTGAGAATAATTGTAAAATTGGTATAATTTGACATAAAATATATTTGAAGTGTCATAATACTTAAAAAAAATTGTGATAATTCTAAATATAATAAAATATAAGAACAAGTGTGACAAATTTTAATATAACGTAAATAATTAAATTGATAACATAAAAAATTATTATTATAAATAAAAAAATTTTAAACCTAAAAATAAGTGTTAACGTAAAAAAGTGAGAATAATCATGAAATTTGTATGATTTAACTTAAAATGTGTTAAAAGTATCGTAAAGTAAAAATGTGAAAATAGTTATAAAATTAGTATCATTTGATATAAAATAGGTTCGAATTATTATAACACTTTAAAGAAAAATTGTGATAATTCTATATGTAATGAAATATAAGATCAAGCCTAAAAAAAATTATTTTAATGTAAATAATTAAGTTGACAATATAAATAATTATTATTATAAATAAAAAATTCAATCAAAAAAATAAATGTTCACGTAAAAATGTAAAAACAATTATAAAATTTGTATAATTTGACATAAATGTATTAGAAATGTTGTAACACTTTAAAAAAATTGTTATAATTTTAAACATAATAAAAGATAAAAATAAATGTAAAAACATATTATTATAACGTAAATAATTAAATTAGTAAATTAAAAATTAATATTATAAAAAAAAGTAACTCTAAATTGAAAAATAAGTGTTAACATAAAAAAATAAAAGTGAAAAGAATTGTAAAAGTAATATCATTTGACGTCGTAATATTTTTTAAAAAATTATGATAATTATAAATGATACAGAACATAAGAATAAGTGTAATAAAAAAATTAAAATAAATAACTAACTTGACAATATAAAAAATTGATTTTTTTAAATTAAAAGATTCTAAATAGAAAAAAATTGTTAACGTAAAAAAAATAAAAATAATCGTAAAATTCATAAAATTAGATGTAAATTAAATTTGAAATGTTTTATTCTAAAAAAAAATTTTAATAATTCTAGATGTAATGATAAAAAAAATATAAAAATATATAATTAAATTAATTAAATAAATTTGTAAAATAAATTAAAATTAAAAAATATATCATTTTTTATTTATTCATTTAATAAATTAAATAAAATTATATATATTTTTAATATTTACTTGCTAACCTATTTTTTTTATAATTTATCACGACATATCATGATATATATTGCGACAGAAACCCTATTCTTCGATTGCCTACTCCCAACTAGGGGTGTAAATGATACCATTAAGTACTCGCAAGCTACTCGGGTTTCGATTCGAAAAAAATTCGAATTCGGTTTCGATTATTGTCGGAGTCGAGCTCGAGCTCGAGTAGCTCCACTTACCGATCGAGGCCGAATTCGATTATTCTTATATCTGACTCGAGTAGCTCGAGCCTAATCGAGCTTTTATATTTAAATATTATTTTTATTTTTTTTAATTAATAAAATAATTTTTCGAATCCGAGTTCGGTGTCGAGTTCGAGCATGAATAATCGAACTCTTGTCGAGTATGACGAATCGAGCTTATTTTTACATATTAATCGAGCTTAATCGAGCGAGCTCGAGTAGCTCGAATTCGATCACGAATCGAGCTCGAGCTTAAAAAATAAAACTCGATCGAGCTCGAGCCGAGTATCGAGCCCGGAGTTGTGAGTCGAGTCGAGCTCGAGCTTCTCACTACTCGGTTCGGCTCGGCTCGTTTACAACCCTACTCCCAACTCCTTCCCTTCGTGCTACGGCTCTCTTTTTACCACGCGCTGCGTTACGCGCGTACTCAGTACATTCGAATTTTTTAAATGAGTAGATTGCAACCGCAATTTTATATATACATATTCACCCACGGCTGATCACAGCTGAGGACATCCTTCCCGCTGTATAATAATAGAATTATTATTATTATTATTATTATTATTTAGCAATGAGATAATTAGACATTTAATAGAGGCATGTATCCTTATTCAAAAAATTAAATTCAAATCCCTGCTCTCCATCAAATCAAATGTCTAAAATTCAGATATTATATACGGTCTCCTCCAAGCCATGGAAAGGCAAAAGATACAAACACTGAGATCGGGACGAGTATCACTATAGCGACAATGATGCTTCATTCTTTTATGTTCAAAAATCGTAATCTAGAAATAATTTTGGATGTTAAAAGTTTCAATTTCAATTTTTTAAAAATAATCACATGATCAGATTAAATTTTAGAATGAAATAAAATGCGAATAGAAGTCGACAAATTAGGGGTACATTATCCAAAATCAAGATAAATAAAAAGTGTTAACACTGGCCTTTATTAAAGTTGTACACATATATATATATATAGCTAACGTCTAATGATCCGAATAATAAAAAATTCAATTTTCTTTAAGCAAAAATATTGTGAATGAAAAAATTAAAAAAAATAAATGCCGAAAGAATTTACCTCTTTTATAGGATCCGATTCGACTTTGAATCCGAAATAATCTTTAACCTAAAGTAGCTACCGAACACCTAGAGATTTTAGACTAACATATAAATATATATATATATATATATTCAATTTAATTATATCAGCATCCCAAGGCCGCCCGCTCTGAAAGTTCAACAACCATTTTACTTCTTACCAACCAAAAGGCTTCAAACATATCTTTTTTGTGTGTTGGATTAAAATTACAATCAGCTGTTCCACCTATCTTACTATCTATAAATATTAATAAATAAATCATGCAAATCTCATCATTCAATATAAATTCTTTTTGGTACATCAAAAGTATGCATTCGGCAATGACTTTTTAAATACCTTGCACTTTTATGTATTGCCTGAATTGTTGATGCCTTGGGAAAACCAAGGTGACAATGAAATCGCCGCCGCCTCATCAATGGTACCTACAAAACTCAAAAACAATATTCTTCTTAAATAAAATGTACATGTCGAATTAATTTTATATTGATTGAAAACCTAGTGAATAGAAATTCATCTTGTTCAACATACAACAACAGGATTGAGATTCACACAAGATTTAAGAAAAGCAAAATGCCCAAATATCCTGTACTAAGGGGGAACATAGGGAAGGCTCAAAATCTCTCATTTGCTTCATTTTCTCTTCATGATATACAGCAACTGTAGGGAACGTCTTCCAACTATGCAGCATGGAATACAAGTTGCAGACAAAATAAACCTCTAAAAAGGCAACTAGTCATGCTATCATACATCAGCAGATTGTTGTTTGCTACAATACCAACTCAGGTAACTTGTGACACCAGTAACCATGCAATAGAAAAACCAGCCCCCTCCCATTAAAAATAGTACAATATTAAAGAAGAATGGAAGGAAAGAAATTAAACTAGCTTATAGGATATGCATTAGCTGTGATAAGGTAACATAATAACTACTAAAAAGTTCTACATATCAGCTACAACATTAAAAACAATCAAATAAATCATGGTTATAACAGATCAAGAGAGCAAGATAACATGAGAAATTAAGAGAAGCAAATCTTTCAAGAGAGTTACCATAAAAAATAATTAAAAAAAAAAATTCCACTATCACAAATAGCAGCTGCAACAATAAACTAAGCCAATTCCCTCCATTTTTGGCCAGCTACAAGGATCATATTACATGACTGTGCTATATTTAAGACCATATATAGCTAAGCATAGAGCAAGTGAGAAAAAAAAGGGACAAAATTTTTGTATTCTATAATTTGATATCAATCAGCATTCAAAACTAAATGTAGAAGACAATGATCCAATAAGCATTAATATACCACCAAACCAAGGACTCCTCTTGCAAGACCCAAAATAGAGACAATAAAAATAATAAGAAAAGTAGTTAAGAGGTGACAGTCACCTGCATTTTAAAGGCAGGTCAACCAACCAGTTCTGAAGGAATAAAATAATGTCATCAAGACTGGCCTCTAGATCACCCATCAATCTGCATGCCGGAAAGTAAACTTGCGAGAATAGCTGGCCAAGAGCTCTCATGGTCTCTACCAGACATGCCTCCCGCCGCTCTTTTCAACCTTAAAACCAATGCAATTAAGTGAAGCAATCTTCATATGGATCAGTGCATTTTGATTCATAGGCTCAAGTAAACTTTTTATTTTCTGTTGGAAATGAATCATTCCAATGTACTGTTTAAAAATTTTCCATGATTTCAACATCAGAAAATTTACATGAAACTCTACTCCTACAAACAAATCTAGCACCCACACTAATCCCAGTCTTGTTACACCAATTAAATGTTAAACTATAAATCTAACCTATGTTGTTTTGGCTCCATCATCTAACAATTTAACTGACACCGCTAACTTATCTGGATGCAACTCAGAGGAGGTTCCATCTGCTACTGATTTTGGAATGTTTATTGTGTTCAACAGATCATCATGGGCCCCGTCATGACCCAAGGACGCCAATTCAGTTTCAAATGAATCCAGCTGAACATCATGTGAAGGGCACTCTGCCTCATCAGCCGCAGTTGCAGGAACATCATGCCCTGAATTGATTCTACTGTCTGCCAACATAACTTTCTCATAGGATGTTAGTGTATTTAGTTTCAATTCATTGTTAGAAATTTGTTGTGCATCTATACTCTGCTTCTCATCAAGTACCATAGTCCCATATGATTCCAATTTATATTCCAAGATGGGACCCTGACTTGTATCCAAACTGGTACCTAATTGCTCCTCCTGATGCAAACACTTGTCATTTGCCAATGAACCTTCACAAGTTTCACATGAAGGAGACTCTGTTTTTGAATTTACATTACATGGAGAAAGGAAGGCACCATGTACTTCTTCAGAAGATTCAGTCCTAACACTATTTTGCATCTCAGGCAATTGAAACTCATCAATTCTCGTGGCCACCATATTGGGACAGACTGGAGGGGTCCTGTTACGGCAGACATGACACCTAAATCCAATAATCTTGCTTTTGTTCTCCGAATTAAGTCCATAAGCATCTCCATGAAACCATTCTGCAAAAGTTATTTGAAAGGAATATTATGAAACAATATAAAGAAGGAAATTTTTATGCATCAACAATCAGTGTTATATAATAGGCAGTAGCCTACACTGAAAACAGACATTAAAATGCTGAAAATTAATTACCTTCACAAATTTCACATGCAACATAATGTGAATTAGATGCATAGCCTGCTTCACAACAAAGAAGACATTTGGGTTGATTGGAGGAGACAATCATATTTTCAGAAGGGGCAAAAAACATTTTTCTTTGAAATTGCATCACGCGTTCATCATCTGGCTTACTAGACAACCGAAGACCATTAAGCCAGTAACTATGATAAGCCCTTGTTCTCTTCTTCTGCCAAGACGTAATTGTCTTTGTTTTCTTATGTGCTTTCTTTTTTGATTTCTGTTTGCCTTTCCTGCACCTACCAGGCTTTTTCTTTTGCACAGAAATGTATTTTATTTTCCTAGGTGAACGACGCAGTGGCACACCAGCAGCAACCTTTTTATTCTTCTGTGACCGCAGTGACATCCGCACTGCAACTGACTTTTTATTGTCTTTTGACCAAATCGATTTGCAACTTGTGGAGGCCTTTTTACCTTTTTGTGGCAGTTTTTTTGCACTTTTTGTGTTGGTCTTCCCCGCCCTTGTATCACCTTTTCTTCTTTTTGCGTCATTTCCCCCTCTTTTTGCATTAACATTCAACTTGCCATCATGGCATCGGTGGCATGTAAACGTGCACTCAGCAATGATTGCTCCAGCAGATTTTCTAACATGCCTCTTATGAAAAAATCCTGAAATTATATCAAACCAACCAGAAATGTGAAAAATATGCAAAGACAAGCAAGTGTGAATTTATAAGCATTTAATAAAGAAGAGAACCACTTACCCTTACAATACTGACAGCGTACAGCTTCCCTGCCAATTTGATAAAAAAAACAAAGTAAAAACATGGTTAATAAAAAAAGATATTCAAGGAACAACTCATTAATAATTAGGCCTTTAACTATGAAAATGCATATGCCAACATGTATTTAAACCAAAAACTGAACTCTAGCACTGATCATTAATGACTTTTTGGATGTAATGAAACATTTAAGTTGTTTCTATTCCTAAGATGTCCTTTTATAACTTAATATTATTAACTTCAACAAAAATCTTAACAAAATTTGTTTAATGAGTCATATATTCCTGATAATGTTACTTATTGCTTTGGTTGAGAACCATAAGATAGTTTTCACTTTTCACATATTACTACTATTGCAAATTTGCATATAAAAGCACCGATGTCTATAAAGTAAATTTTGTATGAAATGAGACATGTTTTGTTCTATTCCTAAATTCTCCTTTGATAACATTTAATACTATTGAGCTCAATGTAAATCCTAGCAAAATCATTTTAGTTGGTTATGTATTCCTAAATACATTTTACTTATCACTTCAATTGCGAATCATTAAGATAGTTTTTATTTATCTGACTTAATATCGCATTTTTATTTTGGAAGATCCACTATTTAATTTAGGGAACTTTTACTTGAAATGGTAAAAAAAGAAAAATATTTGGAATCTCTTCTGAGAAGAAAGTTAAAGTTATAATTTATACTTAATTTTTATTGTTGAGAAATCCTGAAACATTATATTCTTAATTCTATTATTATGTCACTTACAAATTAAAAAATAAAGGTGTTCACTTATACTTTCAACTTAATATTTTAATATTTTTTAATTTAATAAAAGTGAATGAGAGCAAAAATATTTGTATGCAATGCATGCAACCATGAATACTAGTTAGACAATTACTACCGTGAGGTTTATTACTATTCTTTCCTGGGCAATTTCTCTTATTCATGCTTGTGTAATGATTGGGTAGAGTAAATAATTCTATTCCTCTAAGGATAAATACAATCCATCCCAAATTTATTCGATACCATTATGTTGAAAAAGAATAATTATTTACACCAGGCAAACAAAAAAAGGTTAAAATATATATTTTTTTATTATGCTTTAATATCTAACATGACATATGTTCTGAAGTTCCTTCTTCTTTTCAATCTTCTTATTATTAGCAATTTTGAAAATATGGACTGATTATATTTGGGACAGGGAATCTTACTAAAGCCTGTTCTGTTATTACTTTCCTCCAATACCATGAAAGTGCGACAATATTAAAAATGATAAAGCACTCAGAAGTAATAGAATGATTGTTTAACCTGATGAGGACATCTTTGTTACAGTGCCCACATTGATTATACTCAGACCTTTCAGTTTTAGACAAGAGATAGGAGAACCCCCTATTCCTTGACAGCATCTTTGCCACCCTACTGATCTCAGAGGTTTTTCCAGAAATCATCTTACTAGACTTACGGGCAATTCTCTTCTCTTCAAAACTTTTCAAGAGATGCAAGGGCAGATAAGTTTCATTCAACCAATATTTCTTTCTTTCACTTGAAGATTCTTCAACCACAGTCCCATATCTCAAGACAATATCGGGAATGATTCTCCTTTTCCCAAAATCAAGGAGATACTTCACCCCATCTCCCTCTATTGATTTTCGGCGCACAACGCATTTCTTGAACAGTCGGATTGATTTCTTAAAATCCTTATCTAATGTAGGGAGAGCATGAGTATTTTCAATGTCATCCCACCTAATGTTTGAATCAAGTTCTCTTACCTGAAATAACATAAGAAAAATGAGCCAGCATTCAACAGAGTGGTTGCTCATGAAAATTTTCATAAAAAACTTACAAATGTGTAACTAAAAATGCAAATAATCCAGGCAAGCAATCAACCATGTAGGGCCAAATGTAAAACATTATAGACTGACTAATATCTACTAAAGACATTTATAAGTAAATATGCATGGCTAGGAGACTGCAATCATAGCTAGTAAAAATTAAATAAGAGAACCGACACCACAGATATTAGAATTTAATAGCATTAGAAAATACTTTACATGCATATCCAGTAAGGGCAAGACAAGGTGGATACATAAGCCAGTGTCTAAAGTTTAATCTTATTGGACCCCCAAGGCAAAAAGTAACACGTCTCAAATAGCGACCTTTTCATGCCAGCTAATCCTGGCTTCTTGTCAAACTCATCTTTTTCCTTCTAGTTCCATTATCTAATTGCCAATAGGGCCTGATCCTAGATGAAGGATGACAATCTCTTTCAACCAATAGGCAATATCAGAATTGGCCTTTCAATGTAATGTGATCATCCTCTCTCATTTTTCCAATTTATTGCTTTTGGCCTTTTGAGCTGATTTCTTGACGAAATATACTAACTCTCCCTTCCATAGCAAAACTTCAAACTCATTGGGTTTATATCTAGTCTTTCCATATAGCCTCATGAGAAGGAAATCAATATTTGAATAAAAAAGAAAAAAGAAAAAGAAAAACTTTAAAGCACATGATATTTTTTCTAGAATCAGTGCAATTAGATGGCATTAATGAAGAAATGAGTAGCCTATCATTTGTTTAAAATTCAATCAATATACACAGTAAGAAGACTGGCATCAATATTTTCCTACCACTTTTCCAGCTACTGCTCCCTATTAGAAATAAGACATGAGGGCCATCAGGAATTATACCTGGAAAGCAAGTTGTTCTACACTAGTTGATGACTCAACAGCAGCTCGCCATGCAACAGATTTGCTTCTCTTTGCAAAATCAGAACTCTCAGGATAGATTATGCCGGCTATCTTCTTGCCTCCACCTGAAAATTTTAAACTTCAAAGAAATTCAGAATCATTGTTCAGTTAAAAAAAAAAAAAAAGTAACAACACCAACCAGAAAACTTAGAAGTCAAAGAGGAAAAATGCAGACCTTGCCTAGCAGCCTTTGCAACCAAAGAACGGGGTAAAACCTTCCAGTTGAACAGCTGACGAGAAACCCTACCGCCCCTCCACCAACAAATACTTGGTCCTACAGCAGGATTAGAAGTAGGATTACTCTCACCATCATTGTATCTGCCCCTTTTTCTTGCAATCCCATGCTTAGCAGATCCACGACTTGAAGCAATCACAATATGAGAAGCTGAACCCATGGTGACAGCAGAATCCACATGTTTCATCCACTCTGCTGAAAGAGCGAGTCGATGCAGATTTGCCTCTAACTGTATCATACCATTACAGCATGAATAATGTCACAAAAGAGAGAGAATAACATTGACGTAACATATATTAGATTATTGATCAAAGTTATATACATGAAGTGGTTATAGTTGATATGAGGCTAGAGTACCTAGTCCCACTGATCCGGTCCACGGAGCTAAGAATGAGATGGGATGGAAAAACCTAGCATAACCAAAACAACCCATCTAACCTTCTAAAACTAGACTGAACCTTATCAGAATTCAGTAAAAAAAGTTAAAAGGTTCAGTCTTGACCACCCAAACTCCAAATTACCTGAACCTGATTAATATTTTCTTTCACACAATAATGTGGAAAAAGATTACACAAATGACCTGCCCAACCTCACCAGACCCAGTCTAACTCTATAGTTTTAGTTATCTAAGGAAAAAACTGTCCAAGAAAGTCAAAAACTCAAAATTGAAATAACCCAAACTTGACCCAACCAATTGCTGTCGTTAGACATAAAAGTTTTGAACACATTTCATTTTCACAGCAATCATGGTTGTACGGGTGTGAGTGTGCGTGTGTGCGTGCACTTAAAAATAAATAAATACAAATTTGCGAAAATAGATCAACAAAAAGGAAATTTGAAAGAGATTGAATTGGACTTAGCAGTACCATATAAAACAGATTGGTTGTAGGATATTAGCTTTAAACATTGCAGGATATTAGCCTTAAACATTCTGGCAGTCAGATCTAAGGGAAATGCCATAAAAACTGCCAAGTTGAACCACTAAAAGCCAAAGTAGAAACAACTATAAAGTTATGTAGAAAATAAATGGAAGACGCTTACCATTAGCAATAAATGTTTAACTGATTCAATATCGGATGCCTTAAGAATGTTTTTATGCCAGATCTTGATGTAATGTGGATTCAGCCATGAACCCAACAGAAGCCCATGCAAACGATTTTCAATGGAAAAAATATGGCATAAGACATCTATAACATGGCCCTTTTTGTTCCACTTTGACCGAAGGCCAACCATCTCACTCTTTGGAACTTCCTGAACAAAACCTGAAGTAATTTTAAACAAGCAATCTGAATCATCTGTAGGATATCTACAGGAGAAGCACCACCCACAATTTTCTTTGCGTGCATCTACATATAGGTTATGAATATCTGGCCAATGAAACCTATTGGATTTTTTCAAAATAACCTTCATCTGCATTGCAATTATCTCCTCAACAGATTTTAGGGAGTCATCATTTGTCTTTTCTGATGGCTTAGGCATTAACTCTTCCACAACTAATGAGGCAGTTTGGGCAAAACTGTAGTAGTTCAAGTAGCTAGTCCCAGGTTGTTTTTGTGATTCATCACCTCTTTTTGCATCTATCGTACATGGAGTTTGCTGAGATGCTGACCTTATCTTGCTTTCTTGCTTAGTACCTAAACCATTAGATACTAAAGAAGAGTCTTCAAGAGGTGAGTGTTTTCCTGGAATCTCAGATTGGTTTAACTCAACAGATCCTTGTTTCTGAAAGTTACAAATGACTGAATTCATTTGCATTGTTTCAACTGACCCTTCAGAACTTATATATGGGATTTCTGTTCCAGCCACCAAAGCCAACATTTTAGCAGACTCTGCAACCTCAACTTCAAGATGACCAGAATTTTCAGCAACTTCCTTGTCTTCTGGTTTTCCATCATCAATAGTCTCATTTTTTATTGCACATATTTCTGCAGAAGCCACAGTTGGTAGGGATGTGCTAACAGTAGGAATTTTCCCCTTCGTACATGTCTCCGAAAAAACAGAATTCAGAGAGTCCAAGTTACTACTAGCTCCATTAGAGCCAACAGCTACATCCCACTGCTTGAGAATTGCTTTTATCACGTCACTATACAAAATATCTGAAGATTTTAGCACATCAAGAACATTGTTGAGGTCATCCCTGTGGTAGTAATTCAAGGAGTACTCAGCATCACATGCATCTAACCTGCAATTTCAAGAAAACAGTGTCAAAGTAACAGCAGAAGCACCAATATATTGAAAAAGAACCATTACCCAGACATTAGTAATTTTGTGTGCCCAATTTTAAAAAATAAATAAAGAAATAAAATGCAAATTTTCTAGGTTAATAAAGAACTGTGAAGTTTTAGCAATAAACAAGAAGAAAACCAATTGGAGCTTACATAATAGCATAAATTAGCAAAGATAAAGAATCTGAAGGAAATTTTCATTTCAAACCATCTGGTTTCCCCAAAATTTTCTATATGAAGCCTAATTAATTAATTTGTCATATCGCTGCTTTGATTCATCAAATTAATACAATATAAGCCTTTCACACAGACCTTTAAATAATGGAATGGAAAGTATAGTGTTTACAGATTTTACCTTAACTATATGCAATTATCTTAAAGATACTTATAAGTCAAGCATAAAATAAGAACATAGCACCCTTCCCATAATCATTCCAAAATATCTGGAAGAAGAATTGAAATCGCTAAATTTTCAAATTTCAAACACTCTAGTTGAGCAAAGGAGAAAATGTTATATGAGTATTGAGTGGCACCCAAAATCTTCATATGACGTGGAAGACAGGTTGAAGAAAATACATGTTTGTATCTAGCTTAAAACACAATGGAGGCTGAGAGAAACAAAGATTGGGGGAAAAAATGACAACACTTTCAGAAACTGAAAATAAAAACAGACAAAAAATTTGGAGAATGAGACCAAAGCAACTCAAACTCTACTATATGACCCATTAAAATATACTCCATTATAGTAGTTGATTAGAAAGAAGCATATTTCATCTTGGATAACACAAAATTCTAGTAAATGGTAACAGTTTTTTTAACTTGATCCATGGAAAAATTTTATTTTACTGTAACAAGTCACAAACTCTTGAAGTTGCCTTCTTCCTGCAGTTTCCCTTTTTTTGGCAATCTTTTCAATTTAAATTAAAAAAAAAAAAGCAGCAACGGCATTACAATTTCAACAGAACTATGCAACAATAATTTTTGGTGAAAAACTGTGCATCAATATCATTGAAAACAGGATCAAGATTAAAATATATAGAAGTACGCTAATCATCAATCAAAAGATTTTTATTGACATCAGCAATTCCAAAAAGATCATAATCCTTCTACAAGTTGGGATAACAAGAATTTTGTCATGAATGATGGGGATGGATGTGAAAGGTAGTGTCAATTATGTCTCCATATCACATGCCATAACTAACAAGACCCCTATGAAGATAATGACAAAAAGATTGCACAATTAAAATATTAAAATTTTTAAAAAATAAATATTCATAAACTTATTGCTTCATTCACACAAAAGGTTCAAATATTGCTAATAATTAAATAAATGTTAAATAATTTCTGAAGTACTTAATAAGGATTTGGAAGGATATGACAGGGTCATCAAGGTTAGCAAGGGCCACTCTTCATCATTCAGCCAGAACAGAAAACCACACTCATTAATCATTACACAGACATGCATTCATCAACAATAACAACAATAATATGGTACTAGAAGTCATTAGTTAATAACTTATTTCTACAGATTGTGTAAAACAAACTTACACTAACAAGTACCCAGAGCTATTATAATATAACCGACCATGAGGATCAATGTCCAAAAGCTCCGCTCCTCTAGGTGATTTACGAGGTTTTACCCAAGGCTTATGTCTTTCAATTACACACTCAGGGCAGTACCAGTCACCTTCTGGCAAAAGAGCATTGACAACACCTACGCACTTTGAATGGTAAGCAGCAGGACAGCCATCACAGCATATTAAACTCCCATCCATCTTACAAAGGCAGCAATCATCACTATTCCAGTCTGTAGTGTCATCAACTATCTCCTCACTTAAGCCAGATCCACCCGACAAGTCCATAACAGCTTTTCTTTTCTTGCATAACTCAATGTTCATATTTCGATCAAAATCCATGTCAGTCTCAGATGCCAAAGACCTTCTATTAAGCTCAGATCTTATGGCTTCCACTTCAATCATATCATCACACAAACACCTAAGTATCTCAACCTTAACAGATGCAGGTTGTTTATAATAGTCACTTCTGAATAGTTTCAAACTATTAAGATCAAAACCACAATTGAATCCTGAACCATGAATGAGTAGATACTCAACCATGAAAATGGGCCATGTAATAGAGTCCAAGAAACCCCAATTAAGACTCCTACATTAAGATCAACAAGAAATATTAAACACTGATAACTAGAAAACAAAAATAATGTTGACCATGCAGGGCAGGAAAGAAAAAAGAGTGGAAGGAATAAAAATACCTCAAACATTCGGAAGCAGATTCAGAACCTTCATTAGAAAGGTACTCCAAATGCTTTTTCAGAGTTTGCAAAATGGAAACATGAATACAATCAAATAATGAGCTAGGAAACTGGCACTTCAGTGCAGCTCAAAAATCCTCCAACTCAAAGGGACTTAAAAATAATAAAGTACTAAATGATCTCAAACAAGCATAAATAGAAAAAATATCAAGTACAGCAATCCCATTCAAATTCAAATTCAAATTCAAATTCTGGGAAGACGGTGGTAGTTGGAGCTTTGGAGGAAGAATAATAGGCTCTTCAGACACTTTAACGACTGACCTAGCCTGCTTCTCCTCTGTTACAGCACTAACTGAAGGAGATACTGACAAATCGCCAACAGCAGATGTTCTTGTGGGCGGTGATGTGCTTGAAACATGATTTTTAGCAGACCCTCTACGAGCACTTCTTCTCATCACCCTTTCTGTTGAAGAATCGAAGTCATTTGAAACCTTTCTTTTCTTTCTGCGCCCATTAGCTTGTTTGTATGGATTTCCAATATCGGCTTGGCACCCATCAATTTCTTCAGTACCAGCATGAGGGACACCCACTAACCCAACTCCCTGAAAATCATCCCCCTTGACAACATTTGTATCCAAAACACCACCCTTCTCAAGGAATCCTTCAACACACCCTAAACTCGAATGATCTTCCTTCAAATCTACGTTAGAAACATCCTCTTCCACATCATTTCGCTCCTTTTTCAGTGTTTCTTGATTTATCTCAGCAGAAGTGGTACATTCCCTCGCTTCCCCCTGCCCTCCACAGTTACCATCAATACCATCCTTGCTAATCTCCTCATCAGCCCCTACATTCAAATCAAAACCGCATTCCCTCTTTTGGGTTTCGCAATTAACATTGATACCATCATCCAAATCGCAATTCGCATCCAAATTCAAATCAATACACCCCCTCTTCTTTAGATTCTCTCCCTCAACACAACAATTCCCATTATCATTGAAACAATAATTACTATAATACGTATCATTCAGATTCAAATCAAACCCGGATGAATTCAAATCAATCCCATTTTTCATTTCAATATCCCTATTATTATTCAAATTCAAATTCAAATTCAAATTCAAATTCAAATCCCTTGGAGACCCAATTCCTTTCTCATCTAGGGTTTCATTCAAATTCCCATCAAAACCCTCATTTTCCTTTAAATTCCCAACAAACCGGTCATTTAAATTAACATTTCTATTCAGATTCCCATTCGAATTACTCTCTAGGGTTTCCTTCTCTACATTACCTGGACAAACACGAACTTTCCTCTCAACACGGCGTCGTTTCCTGGGTCTTCCAACCCTCCGCTTCGCACAGACAACCTCTAACCCTGATTCGGGTTTGGCCGCATGGATAGGGTTAGAATCATCAGCCATGACAAGAGAAGCAACTTCGTGGAAGCTGAGTTCCTCGGAATTGCCGTCCTCGTAAACGATCTCGAAAAACCCAGTCGAAGAATCAAAGGAATTGACAGTTCCTGAGAAAAAACCGAGTCCTTTTAACTTTTTCTTCACGGATTTGCCCACAAACTCCATTTTCTCATTTTTTTTCCTTTTTTTTTAGTTCTTTTCCCTCTCTTTCTTTTTGGGTTTTTGAAAATTGAATATTTGTTGAAGCTAAAAGGGGAGAAAAAAAAAAGTTAGATGGGAAATGTTGATTTAAATTCAGGAGTAGAAGCTTTGGAGGGTTCTAAAGAAATTGAAGAACAAAGATGGAGGGATTTGTGGGGGATTTCCTTTTTTTTCTCACACGGAGAAATGCTTTTAACATGCAAAGAAATAGAGAGAAAAATCAAATATGAATTGACTTTCTCTTTTTATTTTCTTAAAGAGGAAATGGGATCTCTTTGAAGAGAGAGAAAAGTGGTGAAGTTGGGAGGAAAGAGAAATGTTAGGTGCGAATTAGATGTGAGGAAAGAAAAGTGGTGAAATTATTTTTAAACTTATATTTAAAAAAAAAAAAGTTCTTTTGAGATTTTTTTTTGCTTCTTGTTAGGAATTTTTTCGACATTTTATCGTGACCATTGACTAGTCAAACAAGGTGGGTCGTTTTTTTTTTTCTTTTTTTTTTTTCATGGTTTTGTAACGGCTAAAATGAAGGTTAGTATTAGAGTACAAAGATCGGGAGAAAAAGGAAATTTCCAAGTACAAGCAGATAAGTTATGTTCGTTTTTTTAATGCTTTTAAGTCCCACATATAAGAAGAATGCACCGTAAATTTGAATAAATAATAATGTAATTTTAGAATGAAGAATATATATTGAGAATTTTATTGGGCAAAATCTATGGTGTTACCATGAGAATACAACTTCGTCATATGTGATAATTAAAAAAACAAATCAAAAATTGAAATCACATAAAATGTGGGTGAAGTCTATCCTTTTAACTTTTCAATAATATTGTTTATTATTTTATTTATTTAAGAATTTTGTTAACTAGCCCTTAATAAAAGTAATATAATAATATCAAATCACATTTTTTTACATTTTTACACTAAAATTTTTACTGAACATAAAGAAAAACGAATTGAAAATTAATTTAATTAATTTATATTATTACTTTTAAAAAATAATATTTAATAAATTTGATTTTCAAAACTCATATTAAAAAGTATTACCTTTTATGCCAAAAAACCCGGTAAATAAATAATTTCTTTTTGATGTGGCTATCTATAAGTAGGATGCCATTAATTTAAGCTATTGGCCACTGGTTCCTAAAGAGAATCATTGCAAAAAGGATGCATCCTATGAAATTAATTACTTATAAAAAAATTCTCAATATGGACGACGAAACAAGAACACACAAGTTTTTTTTCTATGGATATCTGATTTGATTGTGGCCAAACTTTCCATTATTATTTATATACCCTATGATTTGCATTCGATGGTGCAAAAAAAGTTTTCTGAAAAACACAGAATGGGGATAACGCTTAAAGCACATTTATTTTGCACAAAATATACTCAAATCATGAAAAAGACTTGCACAAAGCACAATTAAACAAGACCATGGTCCATCCTATTTCAATCTAATCAAGGCATGAGAAAACATGATTTGGCTGTCACATTTTTCTATGTAATGAGCCAGCAACGCATGATGTTTGACCTGCAGCAGCTGTTTGTGGGACCCAGGACCTAATTTACTACTTAAACACTAATGCATGATTATTAACAACTGCAAGTTGATAATCTACACTATCTAATGCTTGCTGCTTAAACATTTAGACACTGACAAAAATGGGGAAAAAAATCCAAGGATTTTCCAGTTTTTCTCGAAGCATTCCAGGAAGGACATTGAAAGCGTTTCCAGTTTATTAAAGTAGGCTACAACGTTTAAGAAGGTAATGGACTATTGGCAAACTGGAAAGATAAGCAAAACAACTCGCAACAATTGTGTCTCACCAGGTTTATCAGGCAACTAATTAGACAGCCGTATTAGTACATATCAAAATCACATCTTGACACCAAATGCGAAGTTTTGGTCACTACCATATTGAACTGTGCATTTAGTTCTTCGGAAATAAATTAAACTAGTTCTAACTGATCATGAACTATGCAGCTAGACTGAATTTGTTTCACTTCTGTCTTTACTTCATGTACATAAAAAAAAATGTTGGGGAAAGAGGCATAGGACTGATTGATGTTAAAAATGGATTAAGTTACAGCTGATGATCAGGCAGATCACACCTCATTGCTCAGCGGCGTAGGCCGGAATAAACAGCTTTCCGGAAAAGAGGATGGGCATCTTCAGTTAACACCTCCACATCCAACTTCTCAATGTGAGGCCATATCTGCAAAAAAAAGCAGATTGGAAGGAAATATTAGAAAAAATAAAATCCAGTTTGCTGCACACTCAGTAATCATGGAGGCTTTCATTCAAGGAAATGCAATTAGAGCGGACAAATATTAGCAAACATGAGCAAACCAAGTACATGTGAGGAAAGAAGCACTAAGCTGGTTCATGTAAGGCTACATTTAATAAGGTACGTCATGTCCCTCAAAATTAAGTACGCTATGATTCCTAGATTTGATTTTTAGTCTAAAACAAATTTCTCAAACATGGGAAATTTAAAACGTCAAGCTAATTTTTGCCTTCAGGAATGCTTCAGAATATTGCTAAACCAACAGTAGTGTCATAGAATCAAAGTATAACAGAAGTAGAGAGAGATAATATGAGAGACAGTGTGCCTCTGAGCTTTTCATTGAATATTTTCATTTCACTGTTTTGGAATTTTAGTTTCTTGACAGATAGCTGTGAACCAATCCACCTATATTTATTTATAATGTTCTAACCATATCATGTCTTGCTTTCCACTGCTTCAGAAAGCACCTAACACCACAGCGTAGATCAAATTAGAACATTCCAGACAAATGATTAATAAACTCTTCTGCCATGCAGGCATTGCAGAGATAGCACACCATAACAATGGTGAGAGCCTATGACTGCATATATGGTGTAAGAAAAGATAGGCAACACCCAACAGCAGCCAAAAAAGACGGCTGTGTGGAGTTAGACTGCAAGAGAATGTCAGACATATTGTAGTCTCCTCTTACGTTGGGGTCAAGAAATATTCACTGAATAATGAATATTAGCATAATAACTTCCTAGTCAGAAATTTTCAAATTGAAAGAAAACAGTGCAATTTGTCAAATATCATTGAATTTTCACAAAAGTACTGCAGCAGCTATAGAAGATAAAAAATTATGGTGAAGATAAAATCGTAAAGAAACATCACAAAGTCATCAAGACATCCCAATTCCCTAAGAGAACAGGAACTCAAGAAATAGTACTTACCTCAGATGCATATTGCCTTGAGAAGGCCTTGACATAGCCCAGAGTTGATAAGCACCACTGTTCTTTTTCCCGTACATTATAAATATTTGTTGTCCTACCCCCGTTTGACCGACTGCAATATAGAAATAAATAAAAAAAATAAATTCAGTCATGTTGATATCATCAAATGACAATGTGCACACAAAGATAAATAAGGACAAGAGGCCACGGAAAGGTTGGGGCGTTGGGACCTTTTCTTAGGTCTTCCATTCTCATCATCCACCTCCATAGCTGATGATTCTTCAAGGTCAAGAGCCATTGAATCTCCATGGTTAGTCTTTAATTCTTGCAATGTTCCAGCTCTAGATGCATCAGGCAGACGTTCCATCAATACATTGGAGAAGTTATTGTATAGAGAGAGGAATAAAACCTATACATTTCAATAACATAAAAAAATAGAATAAGGTAATTAGAACAAAAATTCTGATAAGAAAAAGGTTAATGTAATAATTTCGGCTATTGATAGACCAAGAAACACTGGGGCAGTAATTTAAGAAAGGGCTGGGAGAAAAGAAGAAAGAGAAAACACATTCAAACAAGTAAATATATATCCCATTATAACAACATCTTGTCAAACTACATCTACTATTACCACTTCATTAGAGCAACAGGAGTACACTTGAGTGCAATACCAAGTGTAACTAAAAACAGAAATTAAAATAAAACCACAACCTATCTATGTAGGCTGTAATTATGTCCATCTAATAAACATGTTTAATCATCAGTTCAATTGCTTTGAGTGCTTTCATAATTATTGATACATTAGTATTTAAGTGCAATTGTAGCATTCAAGGCACATAAGAACATGGTGGTTAAAAGGAATAGACAGAAATACAGCATCAATAATCAACATATAAAATTGTTTATGTACACCCTCCAGAAAAAGTAGTGAAAATTTCAACCACAAGAACAAAGTTTCCCCCACAAAATTGCAATGTTAGTGGACAAAAATCAAAGCTATGTTAGTTGAATCTACTACCTCATTTTCATCTAGTGCTCGAGCAAGAAGAGCCTCCTTTGCCTCTAAAGAATCACGAATAGTTACTTCCTCTTCCTTAGTTTTTTCAGCCTCAGTTTTTAAATGCTTTAACCTTGCAGGGTTTTCACCAAGAACAGGTTCACCTTCCACTAGTGTAAGCTTTGACTCAGCAGCCGCTAAGTCTGCTTTTGCCTTATATGCAGCTTCTTCTGCTGATATGACACCCTTCTTGAGAGATGATATCTCTTTCCGTAGGTCAGTGATACGATTGTATGTCTTACTAACTGCATTCCTGAGAATCTGAGGAATTAAAAGATGAAAGTCTTTGAGATGGAATTAATGTTTGAACAGATCCAATGAACATGAATTGCAGAAAACCACACAGACATATGACAATTTTACACAAAGAATACAGGATAGATGAATGCAAAAGCAGTTATAGGGTTTGAAATTAGTAAGAGAAACAGGGGGAAGGGGTGATTTCAGTTTCTTTTCCTGCAAAGCAAGGGAGTAATTATCTTAATTTTAGACCAAAGCTTCACAGCTGTTCTTTTTAGTTTTTTATTTTAAAAAAAAAAAATCCTTTAGGATCCCAAATGCTGCCTAAAATATTACAGTATTTAGTAAGTTTCAAAGTCCAAAATAGTAACAACAGAAATCTGAAATGGCCTAAACTTCCAAGTTTCAGCTCACTGTAAAAGATTTGGGTTACTGGCACTTATATTGGCCTAATTGAATTCTTTAAATTCAATTCAACCATACATTAAGCAAATATGTAACAAGGAAACTTCAAAACACTCATTTGAAACTATGCTTTTGTTTCTGGGAAAAAAAGTATAGAGGGGGGGGGGGGGAGGGGTGGTGTTGGTGGCAGGCAAATATAAACTGAATTTGCCGACATACCTCCCATGGACGATCTGATGTATGAAATTGCTCAATGTTTTCTGGAGAGAAGACCCATCTCACAATTGCCAAATTAGATACAAGACGATAACCCATCATCCTATCAATTGCTATAGCAGTCATCTGTGCATTGTTCTTCCAATATGAACTCACTTCAGCTATCAGCATGACCTGCTTATCCTGATCAGGGCAAATTTTTGCAATGACCTGCCCATATCTCTCCAAGACAGTG